GCAGGATCGAAGAGGAGGAGGGGAGGAAGAGAGGATGAGAGTGTTGAGGGAGGGGGCAAAGGGGGGAGTGGAAGAGGAGGACTGGAGGAGGAAGAAAGAAGAAAGCATGTTGAGGGTAAGGTTGGGATTTTAACAAGTTATGTATTGAAACTTGGGGAGAGGTGAGCTGGAGGGGCTGGGGCACAAAATTTTCAAAAGTTGGGGGCTGCAGCGCATAGGTAAAAATATGAGGGACTGTGTGATATTGCCTTTTAAAATTTGGGGTCTGGAAGTAATTTTCCCTAAAAAAAAATACTGATGCCCAAAATCAGTTTTCAGTAACGTGCACTGTGCACACCTCATTTTCTTTAAAAAAAAATCGCTTTTATTTTATTTTAAAAACAAAGTCTTTGTCTACTTGATTTTGTGCAAATATCACGAAAGTATAAGAGTGATGCTACAGGGACCCCAAATGAGGGGACCCTGTAGGGGACAGGTGAGGTGTCAAGCCCTCACTGGGTGTTGCACTGTTCATGACAGGTGAGGTGTCAAGCCCTCACTGGGTGTTGCACTGTTCATGAACAGTGCAACACCCAGTGAGGACTTGACACCTCACCTGTCCCCTACAGGGTCCCCTCATTTGGGGTCCCTAGGAGTTTTCCAAAGTATAATTGCGACGCTCCTTCCCATAGTACTTTAATAAGTATTTAATTATAAAGATGCTTTGTTGATTCGTACAGCAGATAAGTAAGATATTATCATGAAACTAATCCTTACCTAACTCCCAAAGACAAGGTAGGCGCATGCGTTATTTAGAAAGGTACATTCATTGCGTGCGTCTATCAAATCATTCTCCTACCAACCGCATCCCAAAAAAGAAACGTTACGTTCAGTCTTATGTTTTTATTTTTCTTTATGGGTTTTCTTTTCTTATTTCTATATCTTAATTAGGGATACTAAACAGTATTCGTTTCTAGGAAATATCCGAAACCATATCCATTATGATATATATATGATTACTCAAATCTATAACCGATAGGATGTGGTTATAGATATGATTTTGTAGTGAAATATCCGACAGGTGAGGTGTCAAGCCCTCACTGGGTGTTGCACTGTTCATGAACAGTGCAACACCCAGTGAGGACTTGACACCTCACCTGTCCCCTACAGGGTCCCCTCATTTGGGGTCCCTAGGAGTTTTCCAAAGTATAATTGCGACGCTCCTTCCCATAGTACTTTAATAAGTATTTAATTATAAAGATGCTTTGTTGATTCGTACAGCAGATAAGTAAGATATTATCATGAAACTAATCCTTACCTAACTCCCAAAGACAAGGTAGGCGCATGCGTTATTTAGAAAGGTACATTCATTGCGTGCGTCTATCAAATCATTCTCCTACCAACCGCATCCCAAAAAAGAAACGTTACGTTCAGTCTTATGTTTTTATTTTTCTTTATGGGTTTTCTTTTCTTATTTCTATATCTTAATTAGGGATACTAAACAGTATTCGTTTCTAGGAAATATCCGAAACCATATCCATTATGATATATATATGATTACTCAAATCTATAACCGATAGGATGTGGTTATAGATATGATTTTGTAGTGAAATATCCGAATGCATATTAATCATACTTTTACGATAGTTTTAATTCTTAAATTATGACTTTGTGGTTAATTTTGAAGATCAAGATGTCTAATATTAGCTTTTTAATTATAATGAATATATTAACAAACTCTTTTGTATTACATTAACTTTGTTTTTCTCAATACTACATAGTTTTCCCATATCCATTTTGTATCTGCATACATATTTGCTTATATATCCGTGTGTATATCCGTAACTGTATCCAATTTTAGCGGATATTGATATGAATTTTTCTTACCAAGGTATATCCGTATCCGAGATAAGTAAGCGGATATGGATATGATAATCATCTTATCCGCTGCACTGAATGCACCCCTAATCTTAATCTTAACTATTCCTTAAAAAAAAACTTGTCTTGTTTTGTTACAAGCCGAAAACCGCGTCCACTTCTATCTAAAGATCAAACCAGCAGCCAGATTAGAAGTCCACACCCGCTCGAGGGCTCGAGTCGCCGAATCTTCTGGGTCAAAATTTAAAAGGTCGAAAAAAAAAACCCAATGAAAAAAAGGAAACTAATAATAAGTAAAACAAATAAAAAGGGCAGGTGGACAGGCAGAACCTCCATCCCTTATCAAATCAACGTGGTGGGCCCCGCCATCGCAACGAAGATGGCCTTTTTCTCTTCCCGCTTCATCGCGTTCCTTCGGCTATAAAACCGCGGTCTCCTCTCTCTCTCTCTTTCCTTCCCTATCCTCTCTCCCTTGGATCTCCGCCGCAGCCGCGCCCGCCATCCCCGGAGGAGACTCTACCTGCTTCAGTCGCGCAAACCCTAAGATTTTGGTACGATTCTGTTCCTTATCGCTCTGAGTCTGTTGTCGTTTTAGATCGAGCGGCTTCATTTCATCTTAGGGCTAGGGTTTGGCGATTGCGAAATTTCCCTCAGATTTCTTGTGTTCTTCGTGATCACGTTTCAATCTTTGTTAAATTTTTTTCTGGAATTAGATGCTTATTTTCGAGATTTGGCTTTGGGATCTGGAGATCTGGAATATGGAGTGAATATTCTCAATTAGCTCTTTAACAAGAATCCAAAAATATTTATTTTTGGGGAAATTACTCGTATGCTGCCTTTGCGGGCAATGAATTATTCCAAAGCTTTGTCCTTGTTAGTCAAATGGCTTATGAAATAATTTAATTTAATGTCCAGAGGCTGCGGAGAGTTTTCAGTTGTTTGGTTTTATCTTTATCGATTGGCGTCTTGTAAGATTTCACCTAATTTGTCGTGAAGGATCGGGCCAGACCGTTCCTCTCTTTGTAGGCTAAATATGACATGAAATCCAAATTGACTTGGGACCAGGTCTACTGCAGGGCGACGTTTAATCGCTAAATCGGAAGACGAGGGTTTGTCGAGGTGGCGAGCAGTGTTGATGGCTTCCGTTTCTGCTTCGTCTTCCGTCCTCAGGATCTCTTATCCTCAGTAAGCTCTACGTTCTTTCGTATTTTCACCGTCTTTGAATTGGTGCTTTGTTATTTGAAGTCTTTTTAGTAAAATAACATTGGAATTGGAACTAGAACTAGTCATTATGAGATGTCAGCTTAAAACTTCTCTATGATCAGTTTGCCTTGTCACGATATGGATTGACAAGTTGTTTTAACTGGAGCCTGATAAAAAGAAGTTGAAACTTAAAATACATATATAGCGAATCTCAATTTGTGATGTTGGGAAATGCTTATGCCTTTTGTCACAAACTAGCTAGGTTCTATGACATGCCCATCTTTTACTTCGGTTTATCGTTGTTAGGAAGCTACTGTTGGGCTCGAGATCAGGTTTACAGATTTACATAAACGTGCTCAATTCTTTCATTTGGCTGCCTTGACTATCACTTGTTTTGTAGATGACCTCTATTGATTCTAAGAGGATTATATCATCTATGATGATGACATATAGTATTCTTGGTTACAATAATTTATCCATGTGGCAATACTAATGGTGAGTCACCATTATTGGAATCTTTTAGGACTACTAACTTATGGAAACCTTATTTTCTTATATTGATCAAACTTAATTGTTATTTTTGTTATTGTTATTACTCAGAGAGTGAGATTAATGATGTAATGACTAAACAATTACAATGCTTATATATACTGAAGAACTTAAGGCATGCATTTATGTATCTTTAGACCATGAAGTTTGATTTTTGTTTAATAACTTTCACCTGTGAACTATCTGTGCATTCCTTTCAGATCTATATTTTAATTTTTAAGTCCACATATATTTGAGATTGCGGCCCTACCAGTTATGTCCGATATGGAGACCTCCACTAGGGTGTTTAGACGCCTTCGCACATATGGAAACAAACGAAGCATACTTGCTATAAATGGGTCCTTAGTTTTCTTTGTTTCTGGCATGTTCTGTTAATCTGAAAGTTATCAACAACTGTTGTGTTTCAGCAGAACATATAAACAATTTGTTGCGGAAATATTCATAAGCATTTCTCTCATAGTGTTTCTTAGACTGAATGTACTATCGTTCTTATTGTAGGGGGAATAGCTGCATTGGGAAGGTACAAAGGCTGCAGTTTATTAATCCTTCTGTGAATAGGATATTTTCTAATGCAACAACAATCAGCCTCAAGAGAGCAACATGTTTTGCTTTGCAAGGAGATGGGGGTTTTCAGACAATAACAAGGTCTGATGATGATGACATCCTGTCCCATCCTAGTGATACTGTCAATGGAGATAAAAATACATCAGTTGATAGCATGCTTCAAGCAGATGACGTTGCAGTTGGTACAAATGCAGCTGATGTGGCTTCTGTAACTGATGAGTTTTCTAGTTATGACGACGAAGTTGACTTAGATTACCCTACTGAAGGGTTCTCCTCAATCCCAGAGGCCATTGAAGATATTCGTCAAGGCAAGGTTAGTTATGATTGTCGGATTATTCTTTGATTCCCTCTTTTCTTTTTGTGTTTTAATGCTGATGTTGGATATATTTCAGTTTGTCATTGTTGTAGATGATGAAGATAGGGAGAATGAGGGAGATCTTATAATGGCTGCATCGAAGGTTACTCCAGAAGCTATGGCTTTTATTGTAAGACACGGGACTGGAATTGTGTGTGTAAGCATGAAAGAAGAAGACCTGGAGAGGTTGCATCTTCCTCTTATGGTAACAGCCAAGGAAAATGAGGAGAAACTCTGCACAGCTTTTACTGTTTCAGTGGTATGTGCTTCACCTTCTTGAATCACCTTAATGGCTCATTGAAGGAAATTTATGAGAGGAAACAATTGTTTTATGCAAAGTGCAAAATAGTTTTAACTTGATTGTTATGATGCCTCTATTTTGTTTTGCTTTTTCCTACCTTTTTTATGGTCTTAGTTTAGAGTTCTTCCCACAGCATTTTTCTTTCTCTTTCAACTGAGTTCACCGAAGTCCTATAAGTATTTATGGTGGACTGCTATTCTGAAACCAGCTTGTTGCTTAACCAGATTTTTTTTCTGGTACCAAAGTGTTTTGGTCTAGTATCAGTTCAGAAACCATCAGTCAGTTGTTTTCTCTCTGATTTGTTGTTTAATGGGAGATTGGTGGGCTTTATATAAGGTTTAAAAGTAATCGAGGCATTTAATCTATTGTAATAAATGTCTTATGTTCTCTATCTTCTGAAGTTACCTTGGGGGGCAAACTTTTGATGCTGATAGTTTATGCTTTATACACTTTATCATGTTCTACTTGCTTCTATATAATGCAGTAGCTTCAGGGATGCTGACTTACCACAAATCATCAGATTTGGTTATATGCGGCGATGTTTAGTACTATATGCTTATGTTTCTTTTCTGCTTGCTTCTTTCTTTTTAGTTAAGGACCACTAGTATGTCCTGATATAAGTTTAATTATGTTATCTTTGCATTTCTTCCCAATGTTCCCATGATGCCCAGAGGACTGAAAAAAGACTCCCTTCTGAGAAGCACGTTTTGCTGGCTTAGCTATCCTCATGGATATATTTATTCACTTAGCATCTATTGCTTTAGTTTTTTACCCTATTATGTCGGGACTAATTGGTCTTGATGGTTTTATGCAGGATGCTAAGAATGGTACAACAACCGGGGTCTCTGCTAAAGATAGGGCTAAAACGATTTTGGCTCTTGCAGATACTTCTTCAAGACCTGAGGACTTCAATCGCCCTGGCCATATATTTCCCTTAAAGTACAGGGAAGGGGGTGTATTGAAAAGAGCTGGACATACAGAAGCGTCTGTTGACCTCACTGTCCTTGCAGGGTTAAGTCCTGTTGCAGTTCTTTGTGAGTTGGTGGATGAAGATGATGGTTCGATGGCTCGTTTGCCAAAACTTCGTGAAATTGCAAAGCGGGAGAACTTGAAAATCATATCGATTGCAGACTTGATTAGGTGCGTGATGTGCTATCTCATCTGTAGCGCCAGGTTTAGTTAGTTTAAGCATACTTAATGGTGCCTATTGACTGTTAGCAACCATTATCTCCACGGAAACTATAGTCCTGTGCATATTGCTAGTATAATAGCACGCCCACCTTGTTCTAAAACTTTTAGCCTCAGACTTGGGTTTGTAGGAAGTTATTTTCATGAGATTCTTGTCTGACTTGATGCTATAATGATTCAATGGACATTGTACTAGAATTTCAGACTTGAACTTCTGTGTCAGCATTAATTAATGAGCTTCTACTGGTTCAGTCTAACCAGTTCAGGACTTTCTCCGAGCTCATGCTGAACCCAAAAGGTTATACTCCCATGCTGTTTTTCCTCCCAAATCATGAGTTTTTATCTTTCCAAAAATGGCAAGGCTTAAGGAAAATTCCACCCTACTAGGGACTCTAAAAAGACAATAGGGAAGTGAAATTAGTTACCAAATTGTTTATCTGATTCTTTGCTGCCTTGTCTAACCTTATCTATATACGTACATATAGAATTTAGCATAAATTATTAACTCAAATATGAGACATATGCATCACATTTGTGCCTCCAAACCAGAATTGTTCTTAAAATAAGCTTTGTGAGAACTCATCGGTGGACTATCGGCGGACTGTCCTTTGGATATTTCATATTACTTATCTTAACTTGCACAGTTTTCTGTGAATTGACAGAACTTACTGTCATGCAGTAATTTTTTTAAACTTCTTGATCTCTCATTGACAATTTAGACGTGTAGATCAAGCTGAACCACTGATCATCCAAAGAATTGCTCTTGAGGGAGTTCTCAGAGAATTTATTTTGAGGATTTTTCTTAGAGAATTTATTTTGAGGATTTTTCTCAGATTATCTCTTTCACACTCACCAAGTTTACTTTGAGATGCTATAAATCAAGCTCTGTTTATATGAGGCATTGAGTTCTGACGTTGTTTCTGGAGTTGGTCATCTTCTCGCTTTCTTCTGTCTTGGAGAAATCATATATAATTCCTGGAGATTATTTTGATTCATGTAGTAGTTTTGGAGTCTCTGGGTTCAAATGCACGCACTCGCTCTCCCAATTTACATTCTAAAAATTAGATTGCTAGTTGTTTATCTTTTAAACTTGTGCATCCACTGTTATTGATTCCCCACTAACTCTACTCTAAAATATAAATGATGGTTACGCAGGTTTTTCGCGGTAAGGAAATAATCTCCTTCATTTAGTTATTCCCCTAAATCTGGATTTTGTATTTTTATAGAAAAAGTCTGCCAAGGAAGAAAGAAAAGATACAAAAAGCTAAGGTTGGATCTACCATGGTCCATGACTACTACTAGCAAACTGCATGCAATTACTAAAATAAAACACTAATAGACTCCCATCAGTCTCGAAAGATAAAATCTCTCGGACTGGAATGTTTTCTCCCCTAAGGCATCCATAGGCCTTGACAACATGACTTCATATGCTTGTAGGGGTCTAGACTCATTTTCCTCTCCTCCTCAGTTCGTCTCATATATGGATGTGTTTGTGTTTTTCTCCTCACAAGATGATTTCTCTTCACTTTTATCGCCATAATGTATTGTATAATTTTAGTATTGACGTGAAATGATTTCACAGATATAGGAGGAAGAGAGAGAAGCTGGTGGAGCGTGCTTCAGTCGCACGCTTACCTTTAAAATGGGGCAATGTTGAAGCATATTGCTACCGATCATTGCTTGACGGGATTGAGCATATTGCCATGGTGAAAGTAAGCTTACTGGATCTTTTCACTTGTTGTCTTTCCATTTTTTCACCAAGTTTCAGACCTTTACAATCTAAATGGGATCGTCAGGATGATAAAGCCGATATTTTTCCCCTGTTAATGCTTAGGCTAATTTTTAACAGGGTAACATAGGAGATGGGCAGGATATCTTAGTGAGGGTACATTCTGAGTGCCTCACGGGAGACATATTTGGATCAGCTAGATGTGATTGTGGTAATCAATTAGCCATGGCCATGGAGCTGATTGAAAAGCACGGAAGGGGTGTGCTAGTTTACCTTCGTGGTCATGAAGGAAGGGGCATTGGACTCGGTCACAAACTCCGTGCTTATAACTTACAAGATGCTGGGCGTGACACAGTGGAAGCCAATGAAGAGTTAGGATTGCCTGTAGATTCAAGGGAGTACGGCATTGGCGCGCAGGTAATATTTTTTTGTTTCTTCATGTTAGTTATTGTATAGGATTAATTGAGGAAAGACACCCTCTACTGTCGCCAAATTGAAGTTATAGTTCTATTGTTGCAGATGGACCCCCTGAAAGAGTCCTACTGTTGCAGATAGACCCCTTGAGTGAAAAGCTACTGTTGCAGATATACCCTCTGAAAAGTGTCAAAAAATTCACGCTGGGGTCTATATGCAACAATAGAACTGTAGGGTAGTAAGCTTGATATGACAATAGTTCAGGGGGTCTGTCTGCAATTAAGCCTATTATTAAGTAGATTAACATGCATAATTGTTTGTATTTCTGGCTTGCTTATATGTGCAGTTTGAAAAGATTATTGGTCTTTGCCGTTGAATTGGAGTGTTGTTATTTTTGCTTTTGTGGGAATATACATTTTACTTACCTTATGCGTCTATTTGTTGTGGTATAGTGGAACTTGGTCTCCCCTAAGATAGACTGGTAATGCCTTCATGGTTTTCCTCGTCTAATTAAGAACCGTTTGTGTTCTACAGTAATTTTCTGACTCAATCAGTTCATTTATTAGTTTGATGTGGTTGGGATCTCCACACTTGAAATCACTTTCTGTAGCCCAATTATGGTTGCTTCTCTTGATAGAACACTATCAATTCATTGAACTTTTTTTTGAAGCGAATGTCTCTGTTTCTTATTTGCAGATATTGCACGATCTTGGCGTTCGGACAATGAAGTTGCTGACCAACAACCCGGCAAAATATAGCGGGCTCAAAGGCTATGGGTTGAGCGTGGTTGGAAGAGTCCCTTTATTGACTTTAATAACCAAAGAGAACCAAAGGTATCTAGAGACCAAGAGAAAAAAGATGGGGCACATCTATGGAACTGAATTCAACGGCCGCTTGATTGCTTCACCTGAAAATAAAGACAGCGACAAGGAGCAGCCATCTTCATAATGGGAAGGAAAATAATGTTTTGCTTTGAATAAACTTTGGTAATGTTTCGTTGTATTCTTCTCTCCCTCTTGCAATTTTGCAATAAGATTAGCACGTCAGTTGTTTTCCCCAAACAATTTTGAATCAGAAGAAGACTGTGTGATGACACAAAGCTATCCAATTCTTTTATCATGGAAAACATGATAACTATTAGCATGCTTGTTCAAGTCAATTTATTAGAAAATATAAATTGTGCTATGAAAAATATGTATACCATCAAGAGTATGATATTTTTTTCCCCGTATGCTATCTAGAATCTTATAAATGGATGCTGTTCCCTTTCCTCCAAGAAAGTTTGCTATTTGCTTATACTTGATACTGGCAAGAAGCCATTACTGGAACTTATCAAGACGTGAAAAGTATAAACTACGCCTTAACTGGAAAATTCTTATAGATGGGTGGCGTTCCCTTCCCAATTACGAATCTTTCGTTTTCGGTTGTTTATACTCGGTATCTAGGATTGTTTCTCTCTTCTCCTTCCGAATTGTGTCTGGTGGCAAAATTCTTCGACTTTTCTCTCAATGCCTATGCCGCGGCATCGAGCGGGTCGATGTTGCTCGTTTAACAAGAAAACATGAGGCCAATTAAAATCGCTGAGTGATCTCATGTCATGGTGTAAACTTTGGCCCATCCTTCTTGTTTCGCCAGTTCGATTGCGCATTGGATCGAACTGATCGCTCCGCCACCGGGAGTCAAAACCCTTGAACAAGGCCGTTCTCTGCGGGGCAATGTATTACTCTGCTAGCGGCTGATGCTCTCGCTGCCTCTCCTACTGTTGAATACTTCGAGACGAGCAAGATGGCTAGAGGACATCGGTGCAATGCTCATTTGGCGGAGCTTGATGATGAGCCATTGCTTGTTAAGGAGGTAATTTTAAGTGTGAAGCTACCAGTACTTGTACCGTTGGGTTTGAATTGCTTGGAGTGGAAAGCATCGGGGGGGAACCAGATTTACTTTTTGACGGAGGAAGCCGGCGCCAGATGCTTCGCAGTTTGATGATGCGCCTCACCTGTTATTTGCCCCCTGCTTATGTTGGTCATGGACTCATGGGATTCAGGTTTGAGATCTTTCTCATTAGTTTCTTAAAAAAAAAAACTATAGTTGTTTAATAAAAATTCTCAGTTGGAATGCTTGGTAGGTAGTTTACTTTGATTCTAATTGTTTAAATAGATCTGTAGCCGTTTTTCTAATTGTTTAATAAGAACTGTAGTCGGTATACATATAGACATTGAGCCTTTGGCGTACACAAGAATCGTAGTCAGCCCCCCCACGAGGGAGCGACAAGGCTTTGTCACGTGACCTACTGGGCCGCCCCCAAAGTTTGTCCTTAAACACCCGATAGTTGTATATTATAATTTCCTTGTGTTAGTTCCGTAGCAACGTTGGTCTCATTAGCTTAATCCAACTCTAGTTTCATATTTGACAATTATTCTTTTGCTGCGAGCTAGTCAGGTGAAGGTATATTGTGGCGGGTGTTTAGATGAAAATCACTTTTTAACTTTTAGCCAAATTGACAAATGCCACCTTAAGTTTTTATTTTTGACAACAACCACCTTTACTAACCAACATGTTTCATGTGTCACACCAAAACCTGATTTGAGCCCAAAAAACAATTGAAATGACCTATATACCCTCCCTCAAACACATGCACAACACGTGCGCCTTATATAAGTATTAAAAGCAAGTATTTTTTATATTCGACCCTAAAATCTTTCATGCTTTCATATTAGTACCCTAAATCATCTATTTTGAAACTAGTCCCCAAAATCGATGTTGTCTTCACCAAAAAGCGTTGTCCTTGCCTGAAAGGATTATGGGGAGGCTAAAATTAGGGTTTAGACGGTTTTTTTCTCCTTGGACTAGAGGGCGGGAGAGAGGGAGGATTGAGGGGAGGTGAAGTTAGAGTTTATGAGAGGATAGAGGGTTTTTCCCCCTTAGAGAGGAGAAGAAGAAGAGGGAGGACTGAGAGGAGGTGAGATTAGGGTTTAGGGATTGGGAATTAGGGTTTGGGGATTGGGCTAAGGTTTGGAGATTTGGGTTAGCCATGGATGAGAGAAAGAGAGAGATTTGAGGGACTGTTATCAAATAAGAAAGATTTGGTGGACTAATATTAAAAAACCCATGTTTTAATGATAAAATTAGACGCCAGCAATTGCTATAGGTGGGGGTAAAATGGGATCTTCACGTGTTTTATGGGCTGCAATCCGATTTTGGTGTGACATCTGAAACATGTAGGTTAGTAGAGATGATTCCTGGCAAAAATAAAAATTTATGGTGGTAAGTATCAAAGTGACTAAAAGTAAAGGTGGTTTCCATCTAAAAATCCTATTGTGGCCACAAAAGTCATGATTAAAGATATGATATACGCTAAGGTGTTCAAATGTTTGTCATTCTTATTGATTGAACCCGTTTGAGCTTATATGTTGTTTTTTTTAAGTGACGGCAATTATCTGTTGCCTTAGAGCTTCTCCAATGCAGCGCCAAATTTTTATTTTGGCGCTGTTTGGGCCCTTTTTCCTCCTCCAACGTAGCGTCAAAATGAACGCTATTTTGGAGGGGTGCTACAGTGTTGCGCCAAGAATGGCGCAACACTGTAGCAATAGCGTGGCGTAACACTGTAGCAATAACGCTATTCTTTTTTTTAATATTTGTATTAATAATATTTATTATTTTGTATTAACTATTATAATAAAATTAGAGTATAAAATAATTATTAAAATAAAATTCAACAATGGAAAAAATAGATAATTTAATCCAAACACTTAAAATTTCTTAATACTAGAACCAAATGAAGAAATAAGAAAAACTACACCATTTAGATAAAAAAAAATACAACATAAAAATTAGGAAATAAGAAAAACTACACCAATTTTTTTTATTTTTTTGCTTGTAAGTGTGATGTTTTCTTTTGTGATGTTAAATGTAATCTTTAGTTGAATTTATGAAAGTAATATTTTAATTTGATTTAGCATTTAATTTTTATATTTTTATTTTATTCATAAAATATATTATTATAATTAATTATATGTAATGTATTATATAATTATATAATTATATAATTTGTTAAATATTTTAAATAGATAAAAATGTTAAAAGATAAGAATAATAAAATGAATATTATTTTTGGTGTAACATTTGGTGTAATGGGTTAGAGATGAAATAGTGATTTAGTGTAAAAACTACATCATTTTGGGTTTTATGATTGGAGATGCTCTTATCATGGTCACATTTCAAATACTTATTTGATCACCTTTATTTGATACCTAAATGATCTCCTAGCTTGAGCATGATAAATCTTCACATGGTTTATTGAGCGCAAGTATATTTGCTATGGAGTTTTAAGTTCAGGCATCAAGCTTTAGCACGTCCATCAAAGGTAAACGATATCAATCATCAAGCCATCTATTTATCAACAATGTTATTTGATGACATCCATCTTGGTCTCTGTCATTTAAAAAAAAATGCAATTCTTGCGAATAACAATAAATCATCAAATGTAGTCATTAGACACATGATTGGGTGCTATCGTGTCACAGCGGTAAAGCGCCTCTGTGACCATTTTATTTCGAGACCTGGCACCAGCACCCAATATTCTTCGCAATGAATATACTTTGGTTCTTCAAGTATTTACCAGCGAAAACCAACCAAGCTGATCGAAAGGTTCGAATATTACTACATTAATGCAATCCAGTTGTAAGTCGTAGAAGAGATCTATTTGTTAATAAGAAATGGGAACCATAATCATAATCATCTCTGTTCAAAGTAGCTCTTTCTGATCTAATAATAAAAATATATATTAGTTCAACTGGAGCAGAGCATATTGAGGACAAAATATATGCTGCTGCCAACGTAATAATTAAAACATGAAGAAAATAAAAACGTGTCGAAACTATCTCTTCGTTGAAGAGTTGGTTAGAACTAGAGCAGAATCAGCCTCTCGTCAAGTGGATTTACAAAACTGTCCTTCAGAAGACGTCGAGAATGGAGCACAACATGAAGAGATGTCAATACCAGCAACCTCCATGGCATTACAGACCCATTCAGGGACGTTGCCTTTAGGAAACTACAAACATGAGAACCATATAAGACATTTGAAACTCAAAACAAACAATTGATATAGGATATAGAAAAGGCTAAGCTTCATAAAGGTTTAATTGACTCCTCTGTAAATCTATTGTCGCAGATAGACCTCTCTGTATTTCTATTGTTGCAAATGGCCCCTCTGTAGTTCTATTGTTGCAGATAGACTCTCTGAGTATATTTTTTTACTCTTTTACGCTTAGGAGGTTTATTTCCATAGAAACTATTTTCTCTTTCTCTGAGGGTAAAAGAGTAAAAAAATCACTCAGGAGGTGTATCTGCTATAATAGAACTACAGCTAGCAGTCCAACTGTAACTGGTAGCAGTACAGAGGTTTATCAGCAATTAACCCTTTCATAAAACTGCTATGAATACTCAGCGGTTTTGCAATAAAATACACTAAACAATTTTTTGTCAGAGAAAACTACAAACTTTTTTTTTCATTGCATTAATACTAACATATGTAATTGCATTAAGGAAAATTAATATGCTGTAAGCACGTGATTGTTCCGGACATTGTTGCTCGCAATTTAGTTATATAAGCATGCAACTACTCTCTCATCTTCATCCCCCACCTATATAGTGGTATCTAGTCTTTTTATCTATATCATTAATGATGTTATGGGGGTTTTCTCCTGATTTAAAAATCTATTGTAGTTTTCTCTAATAAGTTCAAAAAAAAAAAAGTTTTGGGTGTTTTCCTGTAAAATCCTGTTAATGATAGCCTATATGTATCTCTATCTATTTATATGGTAAAAATAGCCATAATCATCAAGGAATCAACAATTGCAATGAGCTAAAGCTAGATGATACAATTCACTCCAATGGAATTTCATGAGACCCAACTAAGAAGTAATGGACAATTGGACATAGACAAACCTGCACCCGTAAGAATTCTTGTACAAACCTGCAGAAGACAGGTTACAAACAAAGTCAGGCAAGGAATGGCCTTTGAACAAAATCATCCTGCACTGATTTCTAATGATTAATCCGGAAATAAATATGAAAGCACATACTCTGGAAATCGCCCCTCAACTATTGACATGTGAAGGTCCTTGCTTAGCTGCAAACAGAAAATATTACCCACTGTACCTTAAAGTATATCAAGATTAAGTAGAGGCCTTACTCTCATCATATAAGATAAATTATGATAAGATAGAAGCTGAGACCCCATAGCATCCTTTGTCACAAGGCAGTGTATATAAGCTCGTGTATAGTTCTTACACACCTGAAATAGATATGTTTAGTAGTGAAAGCAATTTTCAGGAGATATGAAACTTTTAGCTTTTCCTCAAATGTGATAAAATAAAGGCTTACCATACACGTGCATGTTGGATCAATTGGACGTTCATCGCTGGACATTACCTGGTGTGTAAGCTTTAGAACTCCCTGAAAAAAAAGGAAAATTTGCAGGTAAGCAAAAAAGTATGTCCATGATTGAAACAGATGAAACATGGCTAAAAAAGTTAAGGAATGAATCTATATATAGATCACTGGCATTCCTACAGAACAGATCAAAGAGGCTAGATATGAATCTATAATGATGCGTGATATGAGCACCCCCTCCCCCCCCCCCCCAAAAAAAAAAAATATATATATAATAATAATAATAATAAATAAATAAATAAATAAATAAAAAAGTTGATGATTTTTGGGGTTAGCTTTGCAAATACTAAGATTTGGGGGGTAATTTTGCAAATGTGTGATTTAAGGGTGTATACAGGAAAAACCTATTAATTCCTTCATCAAACCGTATAATGTGTTGGAAAGATACCAATGAAACCCCTGGCCGTATTTCTGTTTATTCAGATACAAATACAAACACAACTAAGGTGAAAAATCATACTTTACCTCAGGTACGAGTGCAGAGCCAAAACGAGCAGTTCGTGTAGGATAAACGCAGTCATACATGTCTGCCCCTAGGGCGCTGCAGACTACAATATCAAGCGGATAACCAACACCCTGCAAAGCATATTCAACATTCATTCTTTTGAGTTAACATTAATTGTTTTGTACAAAACCTTCTATGTTGCCTGGTGGCTCAAAAGGAATCAGTGATCAAAGCACCTGAAATGCTGCATACCATCACATATCGTGGTTTATCCTCTGGCAATGCGGCAGTGCACTGAGCAACAACACGCCAAAAAGAATCCTTATCTTCACCGCCTGCAAGGCCACCAATAGCGTAACTGTTGTAGAAGAAATTTGATAAATCAGTTATTTGATCATCAAATCGTTCTCCTCTGAACAAAGTTAACCATCTTAAAAACAGCTGGGTACACAGTAGGTTTGGAAATATTAGGCGCGTAACAGAAAATACAGAGACAAAATATCAGTTTTTCATATGAAACTTGAAGGGAAAATTGTGCAAGAACTTCAGCACCCAGTAAACATAGAGTCAAAGAAAGTCATGCATTTGAAAATGTGCATATTAAGTAAATAACCCCAAATAGCTTAATCGGGCTTGCAAAAGAAAGTGAGAGAAAAAGGAAACAAGCACAGGACAATAAATGACCAATATTTCCCATTTTAATTTCATATATTTATTGAAGCATTCCAGAGAGATAATTAATTATGACATAGCCATGATGGTATTATATATTTTGTACGTACCCAGGTAAATTGCGATCAACCAAGCCTCTAACGCATATATCTCTGCAAATAAAGAATATTAGTATCGAAAATAAAAAACAATTCCATGTAACATTAACAAAAAACTCCTCAAGGATTTCTTCAATACTACCATATTGAAACTAAAAGAGATTCCATTCACCTGAGAGTAGGATCTAATCCCCCCTGTACAATTCCAAATAAGTTCTGTGTGCCTGGTTTCTGATGAGCTGCCCTTCAATAAACACATACAAACGCCAATGTTCGCCTTATTACAACAAATAAGGGAGTTCTAAAATGTTAAAGTTTCAATCTGCCATACTGCTGTAGTTACCAGTACAACAACTAAGAGATCAAGAACACATGTGCTTATTTTCTAGAATGGAAAATGAAGTAAGTTAATATCAATATGATAATGAAGAGATGAGAAATTTGTCGCAACTGCTAAAGAATCCTGTGCTTGTAGTAAATGTGATGAAGCAGGGATCCCGAAGAACTGTTACTTTGTCATATACATACACTATTTATATGGAATAAAAAAAATATTACCAGCAATACATCTATCAATCCAGCGAAGAGTACGGTACATAGCTTCCTCAATCCGTGGGCCTGTAATGGTGGTTTTCACCACGTCGTCTAGGGCCATAATAATATCAGCTCCAATCTTATTCTGTACAGATAGCAGGCGAAATAAATATTGTAGAATGGTGACCTAAGAGAGATGCAATAGAGATGAAAAAGACCTATTTTATCCCAAATACAGAAGCGAGTACATTCTATTATAAGAGATGTGAAAATTTGTGTGATTCAAAACTAAAGTAAAGATAGGCTGATTTTGTAGGCTCAATCTTCAGAGAAAGTTGAGAAAGCATAGCGTGAGGGGTGCATTGTGGAAATTAAGACTTTCCCAGTCTGACTTCCAAGAGACAAAGGGTGATTGTATTTAGGAGGTGCAGCAGGTAAGGATGATTATCATAGCTGAATCCTTTAAAAAAAAGTAGAAGCTGGAGAAAAGAAAAAGGAGAAAGCAAAGATAAGAATGGTTGACTTATTAAGCCGGTGAATGGCAGAGATTAAACTATATGAAGAAGCAGGCTGAACTAACATGAGAAACTATATCAATCTGGCGCCATATTTTAATTGCATCACTTGTTTAAATATTTTACCCAATGTGAGAATATTCGATAAACCCAAGCAAGGTAACTAAGCTAAAACATCCTGAGTATTTTTGACTACTGACTGCACTTTTGAAATTTTGAGCGAAATTCTAGTTTACTTCTCCCAAGTGTATTGAAGTTATCATTTTACAAGTAATTTTGGGTGATTCTCAATTTCTTTTAGCAGTATTTTGGAGAGCAGATGTAAGATGAATATGTTGAGACCTGGGAGTGCAAAGTAAATGAAACAATGGGGGCAGCTTCTACAAATTTAATAATTAGCATTATTTCATTGGGAGAAGTAAAAGCAAACTATGTCTACAAGTGACAGTAGATCAACCAGTTATTCTGCAGAGTGATTGTGTGAAGCCGTGAGTTTAATTTCAGAAGGACAGTTAGGATCCTTCTAAAGTTTTCTGTAAACTGAGGATGTTATAGATTCAAATGCATATACTTCCTAAGCGAAGGTGTAAGAAGCAATGGATGAAATAGAACTGCATCACAGTTACCAGACTCTGGAAAAATATTGATAGAAAATTGTATGTTCCCTTCAGCAATGAAGAGAAGTAGGAGTTGAAAGAATGCAAAGTCTGAAGCCATATACAGTTTTAAGATACGGAAAACATGCAATTGACAGTTACCTGGATTTGGATAGACTCTTCAGGTGTAAGAAGCATTGGCTTTCCATCCACAGGAGACTGGCATAAGAAATCATGTTTCAGTATTATTGAGTCCATAAAGGAAGACAACATGAGAATACATATTTCTTTTGTAAGGAAAACAACATGCTAAACAAAAAGCAATATTACAAATATCAAACTTCTAGTCATTCTATATTTAACACCCTAATGTGTAAAGAGTCACCATGGAGAAAATAGCACTTGTGTTGATCTCATAAGAGAACACACTTCTGTTTTCACATAAATGAAAAGAGATCGCATGAATTTAATTTGGGAGAAAAACTACTTAATGGAAATTCTTAGTTGTATCACGACTATGAAAATGCAACGCAAAAAGCAATTGTAAGTGCAATTGCTTGGTCGATTGAATAGNCCCCCCCCCAAAAAAAAAAAAAAAAAAAAAGGAAAAAAATGACAACAACACACCACAGTGACCACACCCACAAACACCATATGCCTCCACAAAGTTGTGGATGCTGTTTGTAAGAAACGCGGGTATGGTTATCATCTTTCCATAACAAAATGATATCAAATATTCTATAAATCATTTACATTCACACAACTGATAATATATAGCACATATTAAATGCATATGAAGCAATCTTCAGCAAATATCTGTAAACTCGCATCACTACTCATAACCAGTAAGGCTAAGAACAATTCCCAAGCGATTGTCTATTTTATCCAGAGTACTATCTGAAATCTCCAGCATGACCAAAGTGCCTAGGTACATACATTCACTAAGGAACCTGTGCCAATCAACATTCTGAGGAATGGAACATTTCTTACAATCAATGGTCAAGTAAAGCGGGTAAACTCTCTTTGATAGCATATGGCTCAAAGTCCATCTGAATGTTCTCTTCCACCTGAGGACTTCACCCTGACTCGTCAAACAGTGAAAGATGCCTATCCTTCCCAAAATGCTTGTGCAGCTTGCTCACTCTCTAAAATTGACAAAAAACTTCGAAAAAGCTTTATTGTTCCCCAGGCATAAAGAAGTTTATTGGCACCAACCATCATAATCAGCCATAATATGCTCATGATTTATGGAACATAAAATCATCAATAAACACAGGATCACATTGTCCTGGAAACCTTTGCTCATGCAAGTGAAGGACAGCCTAGAAATTAGCCAACAAAGTCAATAGGTTGCCTGCAACAGGTTGGTAACCTTAATGGAAGCAACTGAAGTGTCCTTTACGTGAAGGTAAAAATAAGTAGAGTTTTGCAAATTTTATTCAATGTATAATATGTATGTGCATATACATATATGTCCAGTGCGTGTTTGTATTTTTTATTGGTTCTATGTGGTTTTTACTTATGTATCCATTTTCCAGGAATACATATCAACTTTTGAGCCAATCCAAAAATGAAATGACAATAAAAAATCGGGAACTCTACAGAAATATAATCTTATTTGTGAATGCTAATGGGAAGAATAAGCTTTAATATCAAACTGCAAAAATACAATTCATGCATAAGTTGATATAACACAAGTACTTATTGAACAGTTACCTGAAACGTTACACCATTCTCAGTTATGTCAGCTAAATGCAACAATGAAACCTGAAAAGGAAAATAAAATTGACATTATGGATGTCAACATCTCATTACACACCATAAGCTCAAAGAGAACAAAGGTGATATGAACGCATCTGATTCAACAAAACCCAGTCTTACTGAACAGAGTTTCTTGATCAAGTAATAATTATTAATTCTAAGCATTACTTGTGCTCTAAATCAAAATTGTGACACCAAGCCCAACAGCAACTGAGTGAATTAAATGATTTTTTTTAAAGTAGAATTTTCTGTTAAAGCAGGGGATGGCACGATTAAGCGACATAACAACCAATGTATGATTCACCAGGCAGGTAACCTTAAGGTCCTTTCCAGAAAACTTTATATGACAGAATTAGCTTCTAATGCATAAGACATAAAAGTGCAAATTTTCCCAATCCAAGTGGTTTTTGACAGTCATGAATAGTTTTCCTAGCTTTTTGAAAAGTGAAGCTATGTGATCTTTCTCCGTGTCAGATTGGATATCAAAGCTTAAAATCGGTATCATGACATCAAAGCTTAAAATCGGTATCATGACATCTCTTTTAATTTTAGAGCATCAAAATGTTTTTATTTCACTGGGATGCTGATGACAGTCTATAATTAACAAGAAAAAGATAAGTATTGTAACATTGCAGAACTAATATATTCTACATTGGAGCAACTTCAAATGTTTAAAAAAACATGCAGAGTATGGGCTATAATCTACGGCACATATTACAGTTGACTGGTTGAGAAAACCAACTATTTTAAGATGCTAGAAGTTGATTAAAGCCTTTGGTGTCTTGGAGAAGTCCTAGAATGGGATTAACAGTGTAACTCTTCGGTTATGAATGCACGAGTAAAAGACAACAAGTTATAATGACAAAAGAATAGTGTATAGAGTTCAACTGTCCAACAACCATTTGAAAACCACCAGAATCTGTAAGTAATGCTCTTTTCCAATTCATAAATTTATGAAGACCACCCATGTCATCTATTAATTCTGCACCTGGACGAAGAGCTAGATGGTATGTGTTCCCAAGTATTATTTGGCAACCGATATCCTCCAGCTGGTCATTAGTTAGACCTTTTATTGTGCCTAAAGAAGCACATATGATCTAAATCAGTTACAAATAGTACCTAGTGTTAGATTAACAAAAACTGAAATCAAACAAGATTACAAAGTACAAAGAGAACTCTGATAACTAGAGACAAATATCTAATTTATGCTTGCATGTTATATTTCAGTGTGTCCATACATTCATGGGATTATGTTTATGGTTTTCTTGTCACTGTTAACAAATGTTTTATATATGCTGCAAAGGTCATGTATTTAGAAAATTCTTTTTTTTACATTTTGGCAACTCATTTCATTTGATTGCTTTTTTGGTGCCTCTCACCTGATGCAATGTAACACCCTTACTATGATGTCTCTTTCACTGTCAAAAAACAAGTAAGACTCTTAATATGGTGTCGTTTTCACCATTTAAAAATATTCCCCTCATGCAATCAACGGTACAAATCAACATCAGTCTTGCTGAACTAAAAGTTAGTTCACGAATTATACAAAGTTCTAAGCAAGGAGTTGGGAGTCTTGAATTTTATTATAGTCCAGACATGTGTTTACATGAGATGTATGCACATCATATCACAGGACTAAGATGTGAGGAATGCTGGTCATTTGTGGGGACTATTTGCTTCAAGCATGAGTAGCCTTTACACATCACCAACATGTAGGCCTAGCATATTAGCAGTCACGGCAGAAAAAGTTGAGGGAAACTCTACTGGGAAAAAGCCTTGATGATCACTATTTAAGACAGTGGAGACTTTTTGGCCATCATTTGATAAACTAGACCTGCCGGCTATGTATTTTCAATGTGGCTGCCAAGTGGCTACTTTTTCGAAATATAATTTATTGAAGCTAAATTAGCTTTTGGAGAATATATATTGGCATCATAGGACTTTCCGTCGTAAAGCTGAAAGCTTTCTAAAAAGAATTCAGCATTCTTTTGCAAATATGACAAACAAAAGTATTAAAAATTAACCTTGTGTTCCCACTGGCATAAACAGTGGTGTCTGGCAAACAAAATGAGGAAGCGTTAATCGCGCTGCACGAGCTCGATTGAACCTCCCTAGGACCTGCATTATGGAATATCAACAACCACTAAAACCTTGCGAAGTAACAAACATAGAATATGATCAATCTGTTCTCACAAGATATAAAGCAGAACACTCAATTATGTAAGTAAATGGTTTTGTGGGACATCAGTCTTTGGTTTCCCTTGCATTCACATATGTTTGTATTTTTTAAGCAGTGGCTTGAACTCGCAAGCCTTTTGATTGCATGCTAAGTTTAATTTATGAACTTAAAGTTGATTAATCTTTTCATGAAATAGCCGAAGTAGCAGTGTTGTTCTAGAGTTATTAAAAAAATCACATTAGTGAAAGACTGTAGAGCATCACAAGCAAGGATACCAAAATTTTGTAAACAAAGCACAGTTGGCTTAGAAATAACAATCATTTTGCAGAACTAGACTCGAGAAGCAATAAAACAGGTTTCGTATGCAGTTTATTTGTGATTACTGTAGAATTGAAGTATGTATGTTGAGAACATGTCTAAGAGAAGTAACTCGTTAATCTCAAACTTAGGATACGCAGTACAAGTTATTGTTAAAAGGAAAACCCAAGTGATAAGAACAGTCCTCGTACCTCAAACCGGAGCGCCATCATAAAAGAAACTCTCAAGTATCTGTAAAGTCATTGTAACATATTTAGCACACTGGGGAATGATATTACTGTTGGAGATTGTGGTTAAATCTGAAATGAGACAGTAAAAGTTGATGTGCTGTAATTTTAAACTTTTTAAAATTAACTGATGTGCGTTTGTGAAACGTTATGCTTAAAGCAATATTTGGCCTACTCCGATGCAAGGATCTCAATGCCAAACTGCTTTCAGGAACAACAGTACAGTACTTTGGTGTGCACCAACCCAGTACTGTCAAAATCTCCTCGATCTATAAGACTTTTCAGTCAAGGCAAAGATCTCCTCGATCTCAGGACATTTTGATTCAAAACCTTTCAGTTTCAGGGAAAGTTTCTTCGAGCACGGTTTCTGCTGCAGTAGCACAATAGCTCAATATATTTCGTGTGTATAAGAGCTCTCACGTTCGTGTCTCCAAGAGCTGCTCCAAGGGGCGCTATTTATAGGCCTCTAAGGCCAACTCAAGAGTCACCTATAATTAATGTGACTGTTACAAATCATAATGACAATTATGATTATAATATCAATTGATTTAAATGCTGTTGTAACTACTGCATGCAGTAACGCCTGAAGGAGAGACAATCAATGGACGAGTTACTTCGCAACGTGAGGGTTGCGTCTCAGCAAATCAGACGAACAATGTCAATAGGACGAACCTCGTCGAACGGGCGAATGTCAATAGGACGAACCTCGTCGAACGGGCGAACCTCGTCAACCAATTGACGAACCTCATCAAGCGAGCGAACCTCGTCGAATAGGTGAACTTCATCAACTAATTGACGAACCTCGTCAAACGGGCGAACCTCATCGAACAAGTGAACCTCGTCAAACGGGCAGACCTCGTCGAACAGGTGAACCTCGTTAACTAATTGACTAACCTCATCAAATAGAGGAGTATCGTCTGATCTCGAGAACGCTAGGGTCATACCCTCATGCGAATACGTAGCTCGTTCGCATGCTGTGAAGTAGTCTGCGAGGCAACCTTCGTGGCAACTAATGTGGCGCCAAAGGGCACCACCTAACCCCGATGCCTCCATGCGAAGTGCAAAGTATGTCTAACAAAGCGTTACTTAGCGTCTCAGCCCGATTAGCCCCGATCCCTGACCCATTAACCCACGACCCATGGCCCACGGTTCACGGCCCACGATCCACTAGAACTTATGAGGAATTAATTAAAACAAAACACTTCTCGACTTGTCGTTGGCAAGGCTCGAACAGAGAACCTTTTGAAACATCAAAACTTTAACTTTTCACTAGGCTACTAAACATTTATAAAAAGTACTAGTAGTTAATATATATATATATATAGTTTGAAAACTCATTTTGAAAAACGGTTTTGACCAAAAAATTTAACAATTCCCCAAAAGTTTTTAAACTAGAGTCGTGTTATGATACCGTTGTTTCAATTGTTATGCATAAGGTAAATGTCGCAAGGACTTGAATCCTCCTTAGATCAACTGAATAAAAGATAGGTGCATGGTGTCGTAAAGACTTGAACCAGCACATCTAAAAATTCAGCGATCACACAAGATCAAACTCTTCTGTGGTAGTTTTTATTTTGAACCGCACTAGCATTTGCCTTTGCTTTGCATATTTATGACCCTGCGATCATACAAGATCAAACTCTTCTGTGATAGTTTTTATTTTGAACCGCACTAGCATTTGCCTTTGCTTTGCATATTTATGACCCTGTGCATGTCCTGGTTTCTGTTAGGGTTCTAGGTATCTTTCCATAAGACACCATATGAGACGGTCAAATCTCTACCCAGGCATAGGTGAGTTCTTTAGGTATGTTTTCTACCAAACATCTCGCATCTGAGATGCTTTGAACTCATTAAGGCTTAAGAGTCATCTTCTATCATGATAGAATTCTAGATGAGTCCTTTAGACGTGTTTTCTATCTGACACCCCGCATTGGTAAATCTCTACCCAGGCATTGGTAAATGAGTTCTCTCAAATAGCTATGTTTTAGACAAATGGTCCGCTTCTTTTCATTGAATATCGAGTTCGCTGCCACAGCACTCGTCGCATAATTATCATAATAGATAGTAATTGCGTCTTACAATTTTATCAATGAAAGGTCTTGGAGAAAACAACTGAGGCACTCAGCTTCATCTCCCACAGCACAGAATGCGAAGAACTCAGATTCTATCGATGGATGTGTAATTATAGTTTGCTTCTTAGACTTCCACGAGACGACAACTCCACCCATGGTGAAGACAAAACCTCCAGTATATCTGCACTCATCTGGTTCTGAGCACCAGTTCGTATCTGAATAACCTTCGATTACAGTCGAATATCTAGTGTAGAATAAGCCCGGATCTATAGTTCCTTTCAAGTATCTCATCAATCTCTAGACAACATCTCAATGAAGCTTTTCAAGATTACTTGTGAACCTACTAATCATTCCTACAGTGAACGCTATGTCTGGTCTCGTGCAGCTCATTACGTACATAAGACTCCCAATGATCTTTGAGCACCTTAACTACTCTACTGGTTTTCTAGTGTTCGGTCGAACCTTCTTGTTGTAATCATACGGCACTGACAGTTTTGACAGATCGTAGTAACCATACTTTTTTAGCATGCTCTCGACATAATGAGATTGAGACAATCCAATACCTTCTTTAGAGTATATGATTTTGATTCCAAGAATCATGTCCGTAGTTCTAAGGTCTTTTATGCTTAATTATGCTGAGAAATTTTTTTTGATAGATATTACTATCTCCAAATCATCCTCTATGATGAGTATATCTCCACATAGAGGCAGATAACCACCACCTTTCCTTCAGCGACCTTGATGTATAGGCATTTGTTAGACTCACTGACTTGATACTCATTGTTGCGAACAACCCTATCGAACTTCTCATGCCAGAATTTTGGTGCCTGCTTAAGTCCATATAAAGACTTAACAAGTTTACAAACTTTACCAACTGGAGCATCAAATCCTTCTAGCTTTTTCATGTAGATTTTTTCTGTGAGATCTCTATTGAGAAAAACAATCTTCACATCCATCTGATCTATGACAAACATTTTAATCACCGTTCATACGATAAGCACTCTGATGGTAGTGATCCTGCAAACTGGTGCATAGATATCAAAGAAATCTATTCATTTTTTCTGAGAGAATCCTTTTGCCACCAGTCTTGCTTTGTATTTCTCAATAATATCATCAGGACGAAGCTTCTTCTTGAAGATCCACATACAACCGATAGGCCTTGTACCTTTAGGTACATCCACCAACTTCCAAGTATAATTTTAGATCAATGAATCCATCTCATCATCTATAACTTCTTTTCACAGAAGAACGTCTGTTGATTGCATTGCTTCTTGAAAAATCTGTGGGTCTTCTTTCACATTATAGGTGATGAAATCATCTCCAAAATCTTTCTGTCTCCTGACACGTTTGGAAGATGGTTCAGTAACTCCTTCATCATTGATACTTTTAGTTTCGCTTCATCATTAACACTTTTAGTTTCTCGCGAAACTGGCTCCTCTGGTGCATCTGACGTACCAATATTTTCTGATATATCTTTGAGCAATAAACCTTTATCCTTGATAAACTTATACTCAAAGAATTCTGCATCCCGAGCTTCAATGACAGAGTTGGTTCCAAGGTCCAGGAACATGTAAGCATCGCTATCTTCAGCAAAGCCAAAAAACACACATTTATTTGCATTTGGTCCGAGCTTAGGCCTTCTGATATCTGGAACTCGAACATATGCTAAACACCCCCACATTTTGAGACTATCCAAAAGATCTAGATATCCTAACAATAACTGATAAGGAGTACTATTAGTTTTGGAATAGGGTATTCTGTTCAAAATCCAGTTTGTCATCAGCAAAGCCTCTCCGCAATAGCAGGTAGGTAGACCAGATGTGAATAGCATGGAATTCACCATCTCAATCAATGTGCGATTCTTCCTTTCTGTAATCCTATTGGATTGCGGAGAATATGGTATCGTAGTTTCAGCAATGATTCCATGCTCCTTAAAGTATGCTTCTGTCTTCTTAGATCGTTACTCTCCTCCTCTGTTGATCTTGAGTCTTTTCACCTGAAGTCCAAGCTGCTTCTCCACACGAGTCTGAAACTCGATAAACTTGTTGAAGGTTTTATCTTTAGATTTCAGCAGGTAGACGTGACAGAAGCGAGAATGATCATCAATGAAGATGATGAAGTACTTCATGCCGTCTCGAGTGACGAAGCTCTTGAAATCACAAATATCTGAGTGAATCAAATTTAATAGGTTGGTGCTTCTTGTGACACTTGGGAAGAACTTCCTTATCAGCTTTGCTTGTACGCAGACTTCACGCTTCTCAGGTTTGTTACCCCCATATTTTGAAAGTAATCCTAATTTCTTCATGTTAGACAGTTTTCTATAATTTACATGTCCCAACCTATTGTGCCATAATACAGAGAAGTAAGCAGAAGAAGATATTTCATTTACAACTTTACAATAGTATTGATCTTATACATACCATCAGTACTATATGCATTGTCAAAATATATTTTCTTAAAAGATAACACAGTCTTTCCTCCTTGGAAATCTAATCTCATATCTACGTCACACAGCAGGCTTTCAGAGATTAAGTTTTTGATTATTAAAGGAACATATTTCACATCCTTTAATGTGAGTCTTTCCTGAAGAGAGTTAACACCACAGTCACAGTTCTAAGAATAAGAACCACAGAACGATCAACCATTGATACGTTCTCTTTGGTAGCAACATGAAAAGAGAATAAATTTCTGTTAGAGCAGACATGACAGGTAGCATTTATATCTAATCACCAACCAGAGATATTATTGGGAGTTATTACTTGGAAGAGCATAGCCACATAATTATCAACTTGATTAATATTGTCTGTTGTTCCCTTCTTTGGTGCTTTGCAGTCCTTGGTAAAATATTCTTACTTCCTACAATTGAAGTATTTGTCGTTTTTCTTAAAATCTTTCTTTTGAACATTTAGATTCTTCGGGTTTTGGTTCTTCTTTTTGTTAAATGACTTTTTCTTCTTTTTGGAAGAAGAACTAGTACCATTCTCAGAGTTAGCAGCCACCATGTTAGCAGATGCATTCTTCTTAGCAAGGAGTTCATCCTTCGTGCGAGTCTGAATCTCGTCCTTGATCCGAATGAACCTCTTCAAATCAGATAGAGTCACATATCTTTTCCTTCTTTGAATGTCCATGAAGAATAACATCCAAGATGGAGGAAACTTGTTGACAATTGCACCAGAAATGAAGGTTTGATAAAGATTGATCTTTTCATCCTTTAGCTTCATAACAAGCTTTTCAAATTTTTTGACTTGAGGCAAAACCTCAGTGTCATCTTCGAATTTGAAGCCCAGAAACTTGTCAATGAAGTAAGACTTGGAAAGCTTCTCCTCATCATTGTATTGGTCCTCCAGAGCATTCTAGATTTTCTTTGCAGAGGGCTTGTTGGTGTAAGCATCTGCCAGATGATCGGCTAGACAGTTAAGGAGATAACTCCTGTAAAAATGATCATCTTTAGCCCAAGAGGCTTCAGACTTAGAATCTTCTTCAAAGTCAGGTTTCTCCTCAGAAACCACATAGTAGATTTTCAGGAGTTGTATTCCGAAGATCACTTTCCGACGCCATGCGTTAAAGTTGGATCCGTCAAATTTTTTTAACTTGAGACAGTCCACTCCAAAAGTCTTCGTGGGATCCATAATAGATCAGAAATATTGCTTTAAAATTATTAAAGATTGTGGTTAAATCTGGAATAAAACAGTGAAAGTTGATGTACTATAATTTTAAATTTTTTTAAATTAACTGCTATGCGTTTGTGAAACGCTGTGCTTAAAATAATACTTGGCCTACTCTGGTGTAAGGATCTCAAGACCAAACTGCTTTCAGAAACAACAGTACAGTACTTTGGTGTGCACCAACCCAGTACTATCAAGATCTCCTCGATTTATAAGACCTTTCAGTCAAGGTAAAGATCTCCTCGATCTCAGAACCTTTTAGTTCAAAACCTTTCGGTTTCAGGAAAAGTTCATTCGAGCATAGTTTCTACACCAGCACAATAGCTCAATATATTTCGTGTGTATAAGAGCTCTCACGTTCGTGTCTCCAAGAGCTGTCCTAATGGGCGCTATTTATAGGCCTCTAAGGTCAACTCAATAGTCACCTACAATCAATGTGACTGTTACAAATCATAATGACAATTATGATTTGTAACATCAATTGATTTAAATGTTGTTGTAACTGCTGCATGTAGTAACGTCTGAAGGCGAGGTAATCAATGGACGCGTTACTTCACAACACGAGGTCGCGTCTCAGCAAATCAGACGAACGTCGTCAACAGGATGAACCTCGTTGAACGGGCAAACGTCAATAAGACGGACCTCATCGAACGGACGAACCTCGTCGAACGAGCGAACATCGTCAAACAATTGACGAACCTCGTCAAACGGGTGAACCTCGTCGAACAGGTGAACCTCGTCAACCAATTGACAAATCTCGTCAAATGGACGAACCTCGTCAAACGGGTGAACCTCGTCAACCAATTGATGAACCTCGTGAAACGAGCGAATCTCGTCGAATAGGTGAACCTCGTCCACTAATTGACGAACCTTGTCAAACGGGCGAACCTCGTCGAACAGGTGAACCTCGTCGAACAGGTGAACCTCGTCAACCAATTGACGAATCTCGTCAAATGGGCGAACCTCGTCGAACAGGTGAATCTCATCAACCAATTGACGAACCTCGTCAAACGGGCGAACCTCGTCAAACAGGTGAACCTCGTCAACCAATTGACGAATCTCGTTAAATAGGTGAACCTCGTCGAACAGGTGAACCTCGTCAACCAATTGACGAACCTCGTCAAATAGAGGAGCGTCGTCTGATCTCGAGAACGCTAGGGTCACACCATCGTGCGAATGGGTAGCTCGTCCGCATGCTGCGAAGCAGCCTGCGAGGCAGCCAATGTGGCACCACCTAGCCCCGATGCCTCCGTGCGAAGTACAAAGTACGCCTAACAAAACGTCACTAGAACTCATGAGTGATTAATTAAAACAAAACATTCCTCGGCTTGCCGTTGGCAAGCCTCGAACATAGGACTTTTTGAAACACCAAAACTTTAACTTTCCACTAGGCTACTAAGCATTTATGAAAAGTACTAGTAGTTAATATATATATATATAGTTTGAAAACTCATTTTGAAAAACGGTTTTGACCAAAAAACCAACAATTACATGATATTCATATAAGAAAGAACATCAATGACAAAAAATATAAGCAACAACACAACATGACTTCTTTTATAGCGGATCAAAACTGCTACAGGAACTTTATTTGAATCCTAGAGATGATACAAGAACTATCAATCGTAGCTGTATATTGAGTGTGTTTAAGTAAAAAAGTTTAAAAATATGTACAAGGATGAACATGACGCGATATTGCAGTACTAATTGCATTCGCAGCACATTAGACGTCAACAGAGTATACAAACATTTACCAACTACAAACCCGTTAAAAAAATAAAGTTTCGTTTTTGACAATAAGTCACCGTGCATTAGAAACATATTAATTAATGCCACCCTTAATACAAGTCTAGACTAATAACCTTTAACTAATTAAAGATCACAAAATTTCAAACCTTGATGAAAATCAAAATTTTTGCAGCGACACGGAGAGAATCGGAGCAGAAGTAGCCCAAGAATCCGCTGAGCTCCTCAAGTTCTGAAAACCTTCAGGCCCGTTGCTTGCGGCGGCTGAGCCGAAGAACAACGGGTTGGGAGAGGACATACAGAATCTTTTATATAGCCTTGTTTAATAGTTAGAATTAGATTCGGCGACTCCGATGCTTGATCTCATCCGCCCAATTAATTGACATGTGGTCAAACCCAGTGACACGTTATCTTAGCCGTCCAATTGGGCCCAAAAACACCAGGTTATCGGGTTCGGATCCGGATAGCCTGTCAGACAACCGTGGCTCATGACCCGGTTAGAAATCCACTAGTCACTAGTCACTAGTATCAAAATAAAATAAAATAGAGGACAAACTTACAAAATAGGCATTATAAGAATTTTATTTGTAAATATCGACCCATTTGCAATTTATTCACCATTTTCGTCCTGATTTGAGCCAACTCGCTGAAACTGGGTCGGAAATAGTGAATAAAACCTATCGGGATTCTAAATCCCGTAAAGTTTAGTGCCTAATTACCCAACCTAATCGTGATAAGGTTGAGTAATTTAGCGACTAAACTTCACAGGACTTAGAATCCCGTAAAGTTTTCTAGATTTAATTACCATTTTCGACTCAGTGGTCGATTTTTACAAATAAAGTTCTAATAGAGTCTATTTTGAAAAATTATCCTAAAATAAAATAAATCCACCAATAATTTCAGGTCTGAATTTTGAAATTACATGTAGTGATGTTTGGCAAACTGAGCTAACTAGATGGAATAAAACAACAATCGGATGGAAATTAATTTTAATCTGACAAAAACCTAAAGGCTAGGCTTAACTAGTTTTTCGTTAAGTCATTGTTTGTCTAGTAATTAATCTGGACTAGACCGGTCTATAACTAATCTTAATTGGGCTATTCAGAGTCGTTGCTTGTGCCATGAGCTTTTGTTGAACAACATTAACAAAACTTGATAAATAAAAAAATAAGTACTTCGTCCCACGACTTTGGAATTTTTCGTACTGTTAGACGTAACAAAGAATAATCGCTCGAACATATATATGTTCAAGATGTAAAATTTTCAAATCTATTTTCCAGTGCAGGAAGAATTCAAATCTTATATTAGTTTTTGGTTTATTTAGATCCTAACCCTTAACCCTTTAATAATTCCAAATTGGTCCTTCACATCCTTGAAATTGATCAAAAGTCTCTCACATCTTTTAGAGATCTTGCCACTTGGTCCTTAATGACTCAAACACCCTTCAGTTTACATTCCCTCAAAAGACCCTCTGTATTCAAGAAAATATTTTTTTATGTCTATTTCATCTGTTGAGGAACCAAGTTGCAAGACCCCCTGTAGATTTGAGGAACTGATATATAAGCAACACTTACATGTGGGTTAAGATATTAACAAATTAAAATTGAATTAGAGGGAAACATCAACACTGCTAATTTTTAAGAACAACATATGTTTGGAAGTTGCAAAAAGCATATTCATAGATATCGCGAAAAGCAAGTAGATAATCAAAATGAGGAACTTGAGGACAATTTCCTCTAATAAAGGTTGCATGTAACATTTCCCGCATGCAATATTTATTGGAATTACAATTACAATATACCGAACAGAAGATAAACATTTCCATACTAAATCTTGACAGCACGGATAAGAATTCTATAATCTAGTATCAATAAGCACCAATGACATAAAACTACGTTTCCTTGGTAATTACGTCAATTTTTTAAACTCCATTAAACAAAAATTTACTCGGTAAATTTCAAAAACCTCTGAATTAGCAGACTGACAAGAAAACACTATGAACTTTATAATTAGAAAACTTCTAAATTTCGTACAGCTTCACAATTCCTCCCAAAACTTTTTAAAGGTTTCACCTACTGAAATGTTGTTCATAAAAAATAACCTTTCTCCATCAACGGAATCTGCAAAACGAAACTCCCTGGCTATTTTTTTGCTCATTTCTCTCCATTCCTCCCCCGAGGGGTCCTAAATAAAATTTACCCAAAGTTAATGCGGATTTTTTTTGGAAATTAAGAAGAGTTTTGACGAACTCCTCAAAGTTTCGGGGCTATTTAATTAATTATTTATAATCTTTAAATTCATCGTGTTCTGTGCAAATCACCCCGAAGTTGAAGGAATTTTCTGAAATCTACCATTTTCCCTTCCAAAGTAGGACAAAATTTTAAAACCGTCCTATTTGCAAAAATAATCCCAAAAAACAACCTAGTTTCAAAATATTCTTCAAAACCGACTCAATTTTAGCCGTCGAGCTGAAACTGGGTCTGTTTTTGAAGAAAAAACTTACGAAACTTCACGGGACTTCAAGTTGCTAAACTTCACGGGACTTCAAGTCCCGTGAAGTTTAGCAGGTATTTTTAACCAAGATGCTAAACTTCACGGGACTTCAAGTCGCGTGAAGTTTCGTAGTTCAAACAAACTTCATGGGACTTGAAGTCCCATGAAGTTTGTTTGAATTTATTTTCCTCCTTGCAGAAAGTAGCTGAGATGTGCGCGGGTTGGACTTCAGCGCGGAGGTGGGTTACGTGGAGTTCCTCACACGTGTGAAGAGGGCTGAGACCGAGGCACATGCTAGTGTACCCTCTAGTTAGAGGCAAGTAGAATATTTTAAAGGATGAGATTTTGAAGGAATGGGATTGGTGAGCCTATGTTAGTGTACCCTCTAGGTAGCAACAAGTAAGTACATTATGTTTTTGTGTAAATTTGTTGAGAAATCGAGGGGCTAGTTGCATAATTTTACAAGTAGAATCGTGTGGGGTTTTGGTCACTTTAATAAACTTCACGGGACTTCAGCAACTTAGTTAAATAGTTGCTAAGCTTTACGTGACTTCATGTCAACTTTTTTCGCCAAAACCGACATGGTTTCAGCCCCATGGCTGAAACCAGGCCGGTTTTAACAAATAAAGTTAAAACGGGTTGTTTTTGAGGAATATGTTTGCAAATAGGACGGTTTTAAAAATTTGTCCTCCAAGGTAACACAAGGGGTTTAATGTCTAGTTTCCATGAAAATAGAAAAATACGAAGAAAAGTAAGCAAACTCTATTTGTATATTTTTAGGGGTTAAGAGTAGGGGTACGTGCATTAGCCACCACAAGTTCCGACAAAACTTTAAACCCTATCCATTACTTTTCTCGATTTCTGCAAAATTTGTCCTCAACGACTCTAATCGCAACCTCAAATCTCCATCAAAAAGAAGCGGCAATTCTGTATCTCTCTTCTCCGAAGTGAAACCATTTGATCGGCGATGGCGGTGGGATTCAGTCGGTAAAATTACCGATCTCATTTTCTTGATTAAATTTTTTTTCTGGGGATTATAGGCGAAACCTAGGGAGCGTTTTGATGTTTTCTGGTAGATGGAATGTCCAAGGTGGGATTTTTTGTGACATTTTACGGTGTATGTTTGAATCAGTCAAATTTGGTTTCACATGAAATGCTAGCGAAATTTGGGGTTTGAATTGAGCACTTTGAGCAGGAACTGACTTGGAAAAGTTGGAAAAATGGGTTATCATTGACTCAGTCAGACATCAAGTTTTTGAAACAAATAGGAATTGAATTCTTATTTAAATCTGTAACAACAATCAAACAAAGTTTGGTTCCAAATGCACATTGCAGATTTGAATCACATTTTGGAGGTCCAGAATTGCATTCGAGTAGCGAAACGTGCCTAGGTTAGTGGCTATGGGCTGCTATTTGATGCCCCCTTTAGGCGGCTTAATTTCTTAGAGAAATAGTTCTTTCTTATTTACTTGCTGAAACAATGTACCTTTTGATTGGGAAAAAACTTCGACGTTCCCCATAAATTGTTTTAAACGTTCCCAAAGATTTTCTGAAGCATTCCTTTTTGAGAACTCTAGCAATATCACACATTGATGCAGGGAAACGAAAATAACTTTTTTTCAGGTGATAAATTATCGGTACTGTTTCCAATGGTCTGTATATCAAGTCAGCAATTTATAATGGAGTAGAACACACCTTTTCAATATCTACCTGAACATTTTTACAGAATTTGCTACAGTCCTGTAAAATTAGATCATTTTATTTGACGTGCTTTGCTAGGGTGTGAATTGATAGTTCTCGTGCTTTTTGCAAACTTTTGTCTGATATCTTCTGACCAATTTTTTTTACAGAATGTCAAATATACATCTGTCAAGTGGTGCTGTGAGGTTTAGTTTTGCCAACAGTGATATTGTTGATTCCAACCAGCATATAACCCTTCGCAGCGTCACCAAGAAGAAGTGCTGTTTGAGGCATGTCTTCTCAGAATACAATAAACATATCCTTAGTCGTAGGTGGATGGAAGTTAGAAAATACCAGTCTCCCTTTCACAAAGCTCGAAGGATGGTGTTCTTTGTCCCTTTTGCTTCCACAGATGATGTTATAGCAGTAAATGGTGCCCCACAAGCAAGTCCAGATAGCAACATGGATGAGATGAGGGCTAAGTTAAATCAGTATCTGCAAGTCGAAAAAGTTAGCAGTGGCCTTGTCCTGTCAATCCATGACGCAGCAAGGGCTATTGAGTTGGCCGTTCGAGAACATTGTTCATCATCAAAAACATCATGGTTTTCAAAGGCATGGCTTGGTGTTGACAAAAATGCATGGGTTAAGAAGTTATCTTATCAGGTTTGAAATAAGGCATCCCTTGGAGCCATTCTACTTTTTTACGTTGTTGTATTTGTGCATATAATGCTGAAATTGCATTTTGCCTTATCTACTGCTCTCATAACTTATATGTGCTGCTATACTGCACATATGTTATATTTGTGCATGGGTTCTGTCAAGTGGTCTGCCTACGAAATCATAAGCACCCCTCACTTTTGTTCTGACCATTCAGGTAGCTCAAGTTCAAAGGAAACAGTTATAGACTGGTTCGAGCATAATCCCTGTCTAATTTGTGCATGGTGCATGATAGACGCTCAATATTAAACAACAAAGTAAACAGAGAGATCAGCCAGCGAAGCCAAGATCAATTATCTCATAGATCCATGCAAGAAATTAGATTCTTGATCTTGCACTCTAGTTTTCTCCTTTCATTATTATTATTTGTTATAGATCATGCCTATTCATATGAATTCTTCTATTCAACTGATTGCGATGCCTAGTTCTGGCGGTATCTGTCTCTGTTGATAAGATCTTCTGCATATATTCCAAAGAAAAACAGAAAAGAACAATAATCCTTGTAGGCCATCTAGATAGACCTTCATTCTATTCAGTATACTAGGAACAGTAGTCTATTTTTTGCATGTCCCATTCCATTTTTCTTTTCTAGAGTTTAACAAGTTCTTTTTTCCCCTCAGGCAGCTGTGAATGCTTTATTGCAAGCAGTAATCGAGATCTCATCACGAGGAGATAGACGAGACATGGATATTAATATCTTTGTACAGAGGAGGTCAAATTATTCTTCTGAAAGACTTTATTATTTTAAATCACAATTAGATTATGTAGATCATAATGTTTTGTTATTGAAGTTAGTATTGTCAAGTATGAAATGTTAAAAGTTATATGATTCTTGTCTAACCCGCTTTCATTCAAATTGAGATCAGCCGTGGAGCATGATTCAAAGTCAAGAGAGCTCCATAAACAGATCGACTAAGTCTATACAACCAGCTGTAGCGACACAGTGAGTTGATGTCAAATTCCTTGCCACAACTATGAGCTAGGAAAGACCCTTCAATAACACCTTAACGACACATTTTTTTTCTCATGCTGAAAGTTAAGCAACCATTGGAAAATCGCCTAGAGTAGGTTCGAGTCAGATGAAGAGGTAATATGATGAGATTTCTGCAATAACGCCTAAAGGACACATTATCTCTAAGATCCGAATAAACGAGAGCCAAATAAATCACATTCCCATTTGAAAGGTGCAAGTCATGGTTGTAATCTGTAAACATTTAGTGTCCTGTACTTTCTCATGCTATTTGATACTGGATTAGGGAAAATAACTCCTTTATGCTGTTGTCCAAGGAGTCCAATTTGCTTATCCACTCAATTTCAATACCTATATGGTAGTTTTTGTACTGTACTTCACTTTACATTGATATGTTATCTTTAATGCTAAATTTAGTGATGAAGGTATGTGGAAACTACCGCATAAGTTGTTGTGTTCTTTTTTTTCTGAAGAAAAGATCAGTAGGAAATAATGTTTGTCAATGGCTTGGTTAAGGATGAGTTAATTGTTAGTGCCTGTTGTGTTATGGTTGGAAGCTTCTGCTATGACACATGCAGTGTAATGGATGCGCATGAAATAAAGTCAGCCTAATGATTCATATGCTTCTGCATCATCCTATATAAGAGAATCTTGGATTCATCATGTGTAGGCAGCAAATGACTATGGACTTCACGCCGGTCTTTGTACTATTGAAACCCATTTCACATTAGGAATACCAGCTCTAACTGCCTTTCAAATGCTCTTAAGAGAAAATTAGCTAAATTCTTTGATTTAACATCCAAGCATTTGCAGAATGCTCCTGAATCAATTATATAGAACAAATCTCCTTCAGAGTATTCTACAATTTGAGGAATTGGCTCAAATTCTGTTCTCCATTGAAATTAATCCCGAAATCTCTGCAATTAGCAACCCCTTTCATCACACCCTTAATATCTTTTTCAATGGCACATGACCTTAGGACTCAGTGATATGAGGCAATATGTAAGTTGTTCCTATGCCTTTGGGTGTACATATAAACTGTTATGTTTACTTATTTTTGCCGTTTATTTCTTTGCTTCTTTAATTGATCCAATTTATTGACAAAAGCATTATCTTGTTCATGGTTTTCTGTTGATAGTCATATTAGTTCTTTTAGCTATTTCATGCCTGAGCTTGCCTAGAACCTATCCAGTACAAATCCTATTAGAACCGGTCACATGCGACAACCATTTCTGAACCACAAAATGGGGGGCAAAATGCGACATAAGCATTATCATGTTCATGGTTTTCTGTTGATAGCCATATTAGTCTTTTAGCCAATGTTACAGAAGGCACTAGGCGGATTAGGCCTTCGAGCCGGGGCCTAGCGCATAGGCGTTTGCCTATCTTTTAATTTAGTTAATTATAATAATTCACAAAAAATATGTATTAAGTTCATATAAAATTGCAAAAAAACATAAATAACAAGATTAAATCCATAATCAACCATGCATAAATACTAAAATTGAACTAAGATTAACTAAAATTAACTAAAATTGAACAATATTAAACTAAAATTAACTAAAATTAAAAAAATTAAAGTAAAATGAACTAAAATTGAACAAGATTAAACTGCAATTAACTTAATTAAACTAAACTAAACAGGATTATTATTTAAATTTAAAAAACAGTTTATATGTGAAAATTTTACCTAAAACAGTAAATAAGTTAAAAAACAGTTTATAAATTTTAAAAAATTTGAAAATTTTATCTGAACGGCGGAGAAGACCGGCGGGAGAAGGGAGCTGCAGGAGAGGACCAGCGGGAGAACGGGGACTGCGGGAGAGGAGGACGTGGTTGCGGGAGTGACAGCGACAGGAGAGGGACAGTGGGAGAGGGAGAGAAAGTCGAGAGAGAGAGATAGGAAGG